ACATACAGTGAATTTACAGCGATAACAGCTTATTTAATCTGCAGTCTCTTAGTAGTTTAAGGAGTAGGCTTAGAGCTTGAGTGCAAGATTAGTTAAAACTACAAACAAGAATTATTTCTCTGATGGTCGGTTGAACTGAATTTCATTGGTTACTCATAATTAATAGAAATAACTGCCGATTAAAGTGAGTGTGGTTCGGAAAAGAGTGACATACAGTGTCAGTGAAAAAGAAATACTAAAATGGAACCATCAAGAGTGTCAGAGCTAGGCTGGGGATTTAGCTCAGTGGTTTTGCTGCCTGCTGTACAAACTCAAGGACCCAAGTTCGATCCCCAGTACCAAAAAAAAAAAAGTGTCAGAGCTAAGAAGACAAAAAACTTAAGATTTGGTTAAAAAAAGTTGTACCTGTCATACTAGATCTTCTGTTTTACAGTTGCGATTGGGTGACTGGCTTAGAGAGAAAAGGTATCCCATTGATATAAACATCCTTAGGTATATACAGAAGATCATAGAAAAGATCATTTTTATGCCTCATTTATCCATTAATGCATCCATATTGTCTATTTAGTTATAAAGCCATTTATTGAATTTCTAGGGTGTAACAGACCTTGTAGACATACTACTATGGTTTGAGTAATGTCCCCCAAAGCCTGTGTGTTAAAGGCTTGGTCACCAGCCTGTGGTACTATTGGGAGGTAGTGGAACCTTTGGGAGATGGGACCTAATGGAATACAGTTAGATCATTAGCAGCTCACCCTTGCAGGGGATATGAGACCCAGCCACTTGTTGTTTTTTTTTTTTTTTTTTTCTGCTTCCCAGGTGCTACGAGTTAAGCTGTTTTTCTCTATTACATGATGTACTGTCACAGGCCCAAAAGGCTCAGGGCTAATCAGTCACAGACTCAGACTTGAAACTGGGGGCCAAAATAAACCCTTCCTCCTTTTAATTATCTTGGGCATTTTTAAACAGTAACAGAAAGTCAATTAATACACATAAGCAATGGGGAACACATCATACTTGCCTTTAAGTCATCACAATCTGATAAAAGGAGACTAAAAATAAAATCAATAATTATAATCAAGTCTGATAAGTACTTGAATAGGCATGAACATAGGATATGATATAAGCCAGACTGTGGCTCCCCAAAGGCAGATACTATGTCCCCAAAATAGTACCCAGGATGTCATAGGCATTCAGTGCCAAGTAGAATAGATGTGTACGTATCATGTGCAAAGAACAAGATAGTTAATGTTCTGAGTGACCTAAGCAGCAGGTCATGTGAGGGTGATGGAAAGATCACTGTAATTACACCTTTACATTTAGTTCCTTTCATAATCACTGGGTAGGGATATAGGGATGGTCATGTTTATGCAATTCAGCAGTAATTTACCTTGTAGATCATTATCTCTCTCTTGTGTAGGGTTGTCCCCTGACTTTTAGGGCCTAACAGCCTTTTTTTTCTGTTTGGTTTGTTTTGGTTGGTTTATTTTGGGGTTTTTTGGGGGGGTGTTGCTGGGGACTGAGCCCAGGGTCTTCACACTGAGGACTATAGACCTGCGCCCCTATGACTGGTTGCCCACCCAATAGCTCCTGTTTTTTGTGGGTTTTTTTTTTTAACTTGTATTGATATGCTTTGAGTTTTTCCAGTATTTTAGAAGTTAGAAATTAAGGAATTGAGTTTTCTAAAATTAAATTAAAAACAGCTCATTTACCAGTGAAATGAGTTTAAATTGCTATATTAATACAAGGACAACTATAGTGTAAAGTTAAGAGTATACTGAATGACTATTGCCACTTACTGAGAAATGCATTTAATGGCTAAAAAAAAACTACTCAGAGCTAGTTGAGTTCCTGAGCACATTAGTTGAAACTACTGCAAAGCATTTTAACTGGAGTGGTTTCTTCTGTTTATGGGAAGAAGCCATGTCAGATAAGACCAGCTAAGTGGCTAGGAAACTAGTAACAAGATATGCCACCTTTCATTTGTGAGTAACTGAATTGTCTCATGGGGACTAGTACTGAATAGACACTCACCGTCTAATTATTGTATAGTTGCTCATGGAAACCAAATTAATCATTGTAATTTAGTTTCTTGTAGAACTATTTCTCCAGACTTCACAAATTATCAGCACATGGCATCATGATGCCCTTGTTAATAGTATGTGTAAATTGAATCCATATGGGAACATTACGGAAGAATGTTACTTTTAGGGCTGGTCCATTTACAATTGCATCCTTCTCCTGTCCTCCTTGCATATTCTCTTGAGACTTAATAGAGGACTAAATTAGTTAAATGAAGCATAATTTGTGTGTCCTGTGTTCTACTTGGTGTTTTTTGCCAGATAAGATATAGCCCTTCGAACAAAACATCTTTCCCCTAGCTTGCATTACACGTATTTTAAAGTTGCTGTTATATTTATAGGGAGGAGGATGGAATTTCATCCCTGTTAAAAAATGAATCCTTTGGATTGTAGTGGTGCATGCCTGTAATCCCAGCTAGTCAGGAGGCTGAGGCAGGAGGATCAAAAGTTTGAGGACAGCCTGGACAATTTAGCAAGACCCTGTCTCAATATAAAATGTTGAAAGAACTGGGGATATAACCCAGTGATGGCGTACTTCCCTAGCCTGCATGAGAATGTAGGTTCAATCGCTGTTATCCTCCCACTCAAAGTCCATTTCAAGAACTGTCAAGAACTATGAGCACTGTTCTTCATCCTGTACTACTGTAATGTCATTCAACCTCTTTATTAGGAAAATGAGGTCTGATTATATCTTGTTAGGTTGTTTGCTAGGTGTTATATAATTTTTAAAATTTTAAAGAATAATATGCTTATCTGTAAATGTTCTTAGTTGTTATTATATCATCTAAAACTTGAATGATGGTTTGACTTTGTCTCTCTAGATAATTTCAGTCCCTATCTGACTGTGCAAATATAGAAGAAAAGCAAAAATAAATAGTGTACAATTGAACAAATAAGTAGTTTTTTCAGTCATTTTATTTATATTTTACATATCTGACATATTTGTAATTCCTATACTAAGAAATGGTCTTAAGAGATACTTAACCTTATAAGTACTATTTCATGTTCATGACTCAAGATTGATCTGTTATTTCCAAACTATTTAGGGACATTAAATTTTAATTTGGATCATGATCTTGGGTTCTTTTGGAAGCCCAGATCACCTAGAATTATTTGGAAGAATTATTCTATTTTTACATTAAATTAATCCTGGAATCTCATGCTTAGATTTGTTATCTGTTTGGAAGTCTTTTCAGATTGGCTTCCTGTCCTTTTGCCGGGACTGTAATAATTTTTGTAGCTTCCTTGCTTTCTTGTATATTGTTTCAGGTTCATCTTATACAATTTCTGCCTCTGGAATCACCTTACTTCAAGGTGGTCTTGGTTCCTTTTAATGGAGAACAGACCTTAGAGAACATGGTTGTGCTAGGGTTGAATACCATTACCTTCAGCTGGGGATTTAGCTCAGTGGTTTCACTGCCTGCTGCGTGAGCACAAGGACCCGAGTTCAATCCCCGGTACCAAAAAAAACCAAAAAACCATTACCTTCAAATTAGTCACTGTTGATAGTTGTGGGTTCTTTTTCCTTTTGAAAATGTTAATATTGCTTTATTAAACATTTGAGAATACATGATACAAATGAGATTATGAGTGTAAGGTCTATACCTGGGAGTAGTCTTAGGCCAATGTAAAGTGGTTTTGTCATCAGCAGTGGTGGCCAGGAGTTTACAGTGCTTGATATGGACATGTTTTTAATTTTTGTTGGCCTGATAGGTGTAAAATGATATTTCATGAGGTTTTATTGGCCATTTTTCTGATGTATGTAATAAAATTGAACATATTTTCATATTTATCCATTTGTCTTTTGTGAAGTACAGTGGTACTTGGTTCATGAACACTTTTGTTTGGGAACAATTTGGTTTCCAAACAGAAGTGTTTGGCAAAATTTTGTTTTTGTTTGCAAACTATACTTTGGGTGACAAAAACAACCACGGCCATCTTTCCCACATAACATGAACCTGGCATCTTTTCCAGAATCATGGAATGGATTAAGTTTGTGAACCAAGGTACCACTATACTAATTTAGATCTGTACATTTTTTTGTTTGGTTGGTTTTTTTGTATGTTTATTTTCTTACTATATCAGAGGAGTTTGTCATACATTTTGGATACTAAATCTTTTTAGTTATATCCTTGTTATAAGATATCTTCTCCCAATTTATGGCTAGTTGTTTTTTACCATCAAAGGTATCCTTTGAAGAAAATTTATTAAGGTTAACATAGTTAGTGTTATGACTTGAATCTAGATGCGCCCCCCCCCCCCAAGCCTCATGCAGTCATAGGTGGGACTTTTTGGAGGTGGTTGGATCTAGGGTGTGTGATACTGGGATTAAGGGTGTCCCACACTGGTTGTGAATGTTACCTGCTCAAAGGGCGGGTTGCCTAGATAGAGAGTAAGGTACAGAAAGAAGGCTGCCTGCAGCTGGTGCTTGGTGCTTTCATTGCTGCTTTCTGCCTGTCCTGCTAAAGCATGAACTATATCTCCTCTGCAGTGCCCCTCCACCATGCCACCCTGCCTTGGAGCTAGCTGATTATGGTCTGAAACCTCTACAAACTATGAACCAAAATAAACCTTTCCTCCTTTAACTTTGGGTATTTTGTCTCAGCAAAATAGCTAAGAGAAATATAGCTTAGACAGATTTATTGATTTTGTCTTTATAGTTTGTGCCTTTTGTGTGTGCATGTAAGAGTTTCTAGTGTAAAGTATATATCTTTCTGTACCATAAGGTTCATATATATTCTCATATATATATTCATATATACTTTTTTATCTCCAAAGGTTTTAAAGTTTACTTTTTATTTTGAAGTATGTGATTCATCTTAAATATGATTTTGTGTATATTGTGAAGTAATTGTGAATATTATACATTCTGTATGGTTATTAAATAGGTATTATTCTCTTATTCCACTTAAAATCAAGCTTGCAAGCAGAAGTCTCCGGCAACAGATTAAACCATCAGTGACTTTCAAGCTACACCTTAATCACAATGGAGATCAAAACACCAAAGTTCTGCAGACAGACCCAGCCACCCTGCTTCATTTAGTTCAGCAGCTGGAGCAAGCATTGGAGGAGATGAAAACAAACCACTGTAGGAGAGTAGTCCGCAACATCAAGTAGTACCGGTTTCAAGATTTTAGTCCTTTAAATCATTTGTGAATTGGTGATATACAGGAATTACTTTTCAGAGTTAATTTTTTGTTAATTGATGGTGATAAGTATCTAGATTCCATGAAATTTCTTTTCCTATTCTGGGATATTGAAGTTATGATCAGAAGCTAAAGTACAGTTTCTTCCCTGGTGCTAAATCTGGTTAGCTTCTTAACAGATTAAAATGTACTTTGTATTTTAAATGTGTGAGTAGGATTGAAGTAGCTAGAAATGAATCTTTACTGTTCATATCTTGTGTATATATGAATGACTATTCTGTTTTTGGTACTTCTTTGCTTTATTATTTTCCTCCTTGCTGGGGATTTAGCTCAGTGGTCTCGCTGCCAGCTGTGCAAGCACAAGGACCCGAGTTCGATCCCCGGAAAAAAAAAAAAAAAAAAAATTTTCCTCCTTACTGATCAAAATTTGAAAATAAAATTTACAATGTAACACTATTCAGAATATTTTCAGACTTTTTTGACTTTAAAAAGCCACAGAATAATTTAAAGTAAATATGATTTTTATAACTGTTATAGGCAGTTTGTGCATTGTTTTTCTTTGTGTTATGCTGATATGTATAGTATTTCCCATATTACTTCTTTGAGTTGTCATGGCTAAGTAGCTTAAATAGTACTTAAATTTGTGTAATCATATATTTTTTCAAGGGCTAATTTTCCCCCGATTACCCAAAGCAACTAGGAAACATGCTGTCATTTATATTTGTAAATAGTGCATATAGAGTAATATAATTATTGATTATCTAGATATGAATTTTAGTGACTTTATAATTTTATTTGAATAAAATATAAAAGTAGGGGAGGAAATCCATCTTTATTACATTACAAGCAAATATCCCTTTTTAATTATAAGCTTGATTTTTATTTTGTTCTACTTTTAATTAGGTAAATAAAAGCTATTGGCTTGAAAAACTCACAAACTGAGTTTTCAGGTCATCCTGAGATAGTACAAAAAGACAATGTTAGATTTGGGGAGAATAATTATATGGAAGGGTAGAAATGAGTATTTAGTCTTACCTTTGTATTCAGGGCCTTATCCTGGGATTTTTATTCCTAGGAAACAGCCCAGGAAGGCCTTTAGAACCTTCATACTCATCAGTTGTACTCTTGGCTCTACCAGCACTTTGCCTCTCAAAAATTTTGGAGATCTTCATTGGGGCATACTGGCACATGCCTGTAATCCAGCACTCTGGAAGGCTAAGACAGGATCACAAATTCAAGCCTAGTAGGGACAATTGATGACCTAGCAAGACTCTGTCCAAAATAAAAAAATTACTAGGGATGTAGTTTAGTATGGAGGCCCTGGATTCAATCCCCAGTACTGCCTCCCCCACCAAAAAAAGTGATTTTTAAAATCAGAGTTCATCATAATGTCTTTCTCTATAGAAAACAAAGAAACTAACGGAACAGAGGCCAGTGGCAGAAAAGTATGCTGGAAATTGCCATGGATTGTCCCCTGCAGGTATCTGGGCCACCCTTTTCCTACAGGTGTATGTTCTACAGTTACAAAGCAACTGTATTATTAGATATTAGCAAACTATAAAAATATTTTTAGGTCAGGCTTTTTTTTCTTCTTAAGACCTTTTTATCAGCACTAGACATCGAACTCAGGACCTTGCACTTGCAAGGGAGGCACAGTGCCACTGAGCTAAATGCCCGGCCCTCTAATCAGAAATATTTTTAATTATAGTGTCACCTCAGTTAATGGAGTACTTATATTTACAGTCTGAAACAAAAAGGAACTTGATGGATTACATGAATCAGCATAGTTCACTGGAGTGAAAAGCAACATGTCTGCTGAGGTTATATGATAAAAATAGCTCTGTAAAGTTTCTTATTTTTCCAAATTGGAAGGAAAATAAATAAGGCTGGCCCCACCAAGACTGAAATAATAGCTCTGTGTCCCCTTAGCAACCTTTTTTCCACCTCTGTCCATTCTTGCCCCAATCAAAAGAAGAAAGTGTGTTAGTCTTATTTACAGTATTTATTAGACCCAAACTCCCTGACCTCCTTTCATTGCAGTCTACTTCTGTGCTGTTTTGCCTTCTTCACCTTTTGGGCAGAGGGTAAATTGACAGCAGTCTTCCTACTTTTATAATCTGAGGCTAACTTTTTAGTACAGGCCATCAAATGAGTCCCTTTCATTTCTTTCTTTTTTGGGGGGGGGGGTCGAACTCAGGATCTTAATGCAGGCACATTGCCACTGAGCTAAATCCCCAGCCCTTCATATCTTGTTCGAACATTGTACACCTTATGGACTCCTCTGCCTTGTGTTTTATGGCATATTTGATGTTTTTGTAGCTTGTATATGAATATAATTTTCTACAGACACAGTCACTGTTCCCCTGTCTGATATGTCCTGACTCTGGATAATGTGTCTTAACATCTATATCTAAATTTTTATTAAAGCTTTCTGGATTATGAGTATGCTGATTTTTCAAGATTCGCTGATATATGATTAGATTTGAGAATCATCCTTCATGTCCCAAAGCCAAAATAGTAACATCTCAGAACAGAGTTGTGAGCACATACCAGTATATGTATCAGAGTTTACATGTACTTTAGTCTTTGGAACTCTCTTTTAAGTGTTTAAAAAATTTCAACAAATTCAACAAATTTATTTTGTTATTGTTATTTCCAGCTAATAGGAAAATTGATAAAGTTGCCTTAAGAAGATAATGAGGGCCAGGGATTTGGCTCAGTGGTTTCGCCGCCTGCTGCGCAAGCGGAAGGATCTGAGTTCCATCCCCGGCACCAAAAAAAAAAAAAAAGAAGATAATGTATTTTGTTTGAGAACTGAAAACAGAGTCTAACACTAAGGAAAGTTTGAGGAACAATTATGAGGGTCTGTAAAGGATGCACGGATGAGAGCCTTTAAAGTGTGTGACCTTGAACAGACTAATTTTGTGAAGCAGGTTGGTCTTGGAAACTGGAGAGAAAGGTTTGAATTTAGACTGTAGCTTCTAATGGGTCCTTGATGCATCGTCAAGTCCTTGATTTATTCATCTCTGAAAAGAATTTAAGATCACCTACGATGGGCTTGTAAGGATTAACTGAAACAGTACATGAATGTTCAGCCTCTAAAAGTACTCAGTAAGTGTTGGGCATTAACTGAAATTGTTGTGTGCACAGAGGATCTCATTATTTTAGAGCCTTGTATTATGTCCACTTTTATACTCTATAAAACTGGAGGCAAATGTTAACTGGTTATATCCAGATGATAAGATAATGGGTTATCTTTCATTTTAATTTCTGTAATGAATCCGAATAGTTAATCACATTTAGGAAAAAAAACTATAAAATCTAAAGGAAGGAGAAATAAGGTCAGGGAATTTAAATATATTTTAATATAATATTTTCACCCCAAATTTTAACTGTTGGGAGTTACAGCTCTCCAAAAAGCTCAGCTAATCAAAACTATTTAAAAACTTAAATTACTCAGGTAGCAGGCTGAAGGTTTTATATACAGACTTGCTCCAGAGTCCCGCTTTGCATTGTTTTCATATTAGTGAAAGAAGCATGGGAATCTCACACCTTTATCCAAGCCAGTTTTGTTTTTCTAGGTAATATTACATCTAAACATAAAATTACCTGTGTTATTTTTAATTACCAAAGGAAAACATGTAACTCTACTCTGTCATTTCTTATAGCTGTTTCAGCTGCTTTATTGAAGTCCTCCTATAATTTATTCACTTTTCTTTGTATTTACATTTTTAAATATGTATGTGATTAAGTCCCTCTTTACCTTACCCTTCTAGAATTTCTATAATCATGAAGTTATTTTGGGGCCTTTCCTTCCACCAACTAGAAAATACCTTAGTAGAAAGAATATCCATACTACATTTCTTCTAACTTAAATATGTTCACTTTTAAAACCATGACTATTATTTTCAAACTGGAATAGTTTCATTAGAACAAAACAGTTAAGCCCAACTCCACCATGAATGAGATTAGTTCAGTGAAATTTTAAAACTTTGAAAGTTAATATTTTATTGAGAAAAGCAGAATAGACCTATTATTTTTAAGCTTTGCAAAATATACTGTGGAAATGAAAAAACAATGATAAGTCTATGGCACTAAAATATGTATTTATTTGAATACTGAATCATAATGGATGTTAACATTTTTAGAGCTCTTTTTGTCAAGGAACTCAAACAACTTAAGTATACTTGATAGTGATAAGTCTACAAGGTTCTATGTAACATAATAAGGAAATAAAGAAAAGTAGTATTATTTCCTTAATGAGCTTAAAGTAAAAAGGAACAGCAGGAGTACAGATATCTACATTAATGTACTACACCATAGCTTTTATTTAGATTGTTGCCATTCTGAACCCAAACATCTTTTTATAAGATGAGCTTTTAAAAATAATTTTAACGTAAATTGTGTTTATCATGAGAAATGTTACTAATTATATGGCGATTGGAGTGTGAACTTACGCTCTTTTATTATACTTGAGCTTAAAATCAATATTTTTAGTTACAAAGGACTACCCTTTTCATTTTCCTCTGTTGTAGAACAGTCTTCCCAGCAATGAGCTAAAAATAAAAAATAAAAAACAGAAAAAAAGATTTTTGTTTTTTCTTCAACCATATAAGGTCTTCTACCTCTTAATCAATTTCTTTGCTCTTTACTCACACTGGGCTATAATCTGCCTACTTGTATATGGTATTGTATTGATAGAAAAAAAACAAAGCAAATTTTGAACCTAGCTTTTTTTTTATACATGGTACAGATTCAATTTTGTTAAATGTTTATTAAGTGCTTAAGAGTGATCCATATGTGTCGAACAAAGCATAAAGACTTAATCTTCTCCGAGTTTAGTATTCTTATGCTCTCAGGCCATTCTATCCTCTAAAATAGTTTAATCCATAAGCTCATTAGGCTGCAGAAAAGAATCTCCTGAGGGCTTTATTTTGAAGATGGAGAGTTCCTCTAGACTAATGTCTGGCTGGAAATGCTTTCAGTGAAACTTCACCATCATCTAGAAGGCAAAGCTGTAATATGATTCAGTGGCTAGAGTTGTAGAGTTGTGCTGAAGAAGTCTTCAGTCAGTACAGAATGCTGGGGAGCACTTGGACTTGGTTAGGATGGCAGCAATTATCCTTATTCCATTTCCATTGAAGTGGGGTTCCCTGAGGTAACCAGAGGTGTGGTGAGAAAAGCAAATTGAGCCTTTTTCACCTGCATGCCAATGTTGTGATTGTCATAAATCCAATGAGAAGAGGATGCCTGTGGTTTTAAAGGAATGTGCTTAGTTCACAGAATGAAAAAGCTTCTCAGTTAACTCAAAGAATAAAACCACACAGATTAAAATTCAGAGAATGAGGAAAAGAAAAATCCAGAGAAGTCTGAATTTCATTGGGGCAACTATAGATGGTTAGGATATGATTTCTTGGCACGATGTGGAAAACATACATCCTATTCCAAATAAATTCTTACAAAGCTCAAGTGAGTTTAAATGTTGTAACATAATAAAAAGGCTGCAAGTGATTTTTTTAATACCTGAAAAAATAAGCAAGTCACCGTGTACTTGTCAAAAAGGCAAAAATAATTTATCTTTTGGTATGAGTGATGTAATTAAAGCTTTTTTAAATGTTTAGGTTTTCAAGGATATAATTATTGGGTATTCTATTCTGTGCTTTTCTTCTTTTACTCTTTGTCCTTGTCAAGGCATAAGTATCAAATTCCATGCCCTTCTTAGGCTCTTAGAACAATTTCTCTTCATGCCCAACCCCTCATTAAACTTCCTTCCCTTTAAAAGAAATTGTTCTTACTGAAATATAAGTCACATAAACATAAAATTTACCCTTTCAGACTGTACAATCCAGTGGTTTTTAGTATGTTCCCAAAGTTGTGTAGCCATCACTGCTATCAGAGTACATTTCACCATCCCCAAAAGAAGGCTGTTATTACTAGCAGTCATTCTTCATTTTCCCCTTCCTCTATCCTCTGGTGACCATGAATCTTCTTTCTCTGGATTTGCCTTTGCTGGACATTTCATGTAAGTGGAATTACACAATATATGGCCTTTTCTGTCTTCACTAAGCATGTTTTCAAGGTTCGTGCATATTGTAGCATGAAACTATTTCCTGCCATTTTTATGACCAGATAATATCCCATTGTTTCAGATATTTCAGTTCTTTTTACAGTATTTGATTCTTATTTTTGATCTCATTGTGGAATTAATCTATTACATTTTATGTTCATAAAAGAACCCCTAACAGATTTAGTAATGTGTTTTCTAAAATGATGGCTTTCTAGAATTCTCTTCCCAGATATAAATTAGAAGAGTCTGAAAGCAATTTCTTCTTAGCCGGTTATTAGAAAAGTTATTCTCCAGTGGGTTGAGTGTTTTATTTTTAGCCTTACTCAAAAGTTATACCAGGTAAGCCAAGTGTGGTGGTGCATCCCTGTAATCTCAGCACATGGGAGGTTGAGAGGATAGCCATGAGTTTGAGGCCAGCCTGGGCATAATGAGTCCAAGGCCAACCTGAATTACAAAGCGAGATCCTGTCTCAAAAGAAAAGAAAGAAAAAAAGTTATACCAGGTTAAGGGTTAGTAGGATGAACTGTTGAAACAATTTAGCTGAAATAAATCCTAAGAAAAATCAGATTTTATTATATCCTTTTTAATTTTAATTAAAATATTTCTTACTAGAAGAGGTGTTCTGGCCAGCTGTGGTGGTGAATGCCTGTAATCCCAGGACTCAGGAGGCTGAGGCAGAAGGACTGTAGTAAGTTTGAGGCCAGCCTGGGCTGCATAGTTCAAGGCCACCCTGACTTGAACTACATAGCGAGACCGTCTCAAAAATGTGTACTGTGAACATTTTACAGCTATAGGAAATCAACTAATGATTTGTGTCTTTCCATATACAATTCGTATGTTTTTCAAATTAGATAAAGATCACTTAAAATATTTTAAACTCTATAGTGGAAAAAAGAAAAGGGCATTTGGCTAAGTGAGATGATATCAGCCTGTAATCCCAGGTACTCCAGAGGCTATGGCAGAATCTCAAATTTGAGGCCAGCCTGGGCAACTTAATGAGACCCTATTTCAAAATAAAATATAAAAAAGGGGTGAAGATTTAGCTCAGTGTATGTGCATGGTTCTGGGTTTAGTCCTTATACCACACACACACACACACACACACACACACACACACACACACACAAATAACAAGAAATAAAAGGACATTTACTTTTGCTGCACTCTTCAGAATATTTCTAAAGTAATTTTTAAATACCCATACTGAGAGAGCCCCTAGACACTTCTCCAAATAATGCAATTGTAGCCATTGCCTTTTGGTGCTCATGAGTGACTGGAGGATATAGAAAGGTACATAAACAGCATGAACTCAGTGTGTTAGATAGATGAAGCGCTACAACAAATAAGGAGCTCTGTATATATACGATAATGATTAATTCTCACTAAGGGCAGAAGCATAGGAGGTTGCTATTCTCATTGATCATTTTTGCTGTTTTTGGTCATTGTACCCCAACTTACATCTGGGGAAGACTCTCAGACAAAGGACCATGCCCTCCACTATCTCCACTAAGGCTTTCAAGTGTTTCTCCTGAGACTCCAAAACCCGAGGATCTAGAGAATGGGTGACATTGCTTTTATGGCATCCATGTGAGATGGTCAGTGGTCCATCCCACAGCCTCATGAAGCAACTGCTGTTCAAGTCCTTAAGGATCTGATCATATGGCTTCACCTTGATTCTGCATGGTGCCAATACATGTCCAGTAAATTCAATCTCTGCTGTAATTTGGGTTTAAATAAATGTTACCAAGTGTAAC